GGCTCTTAGGGGTCCTCTTGGGGACTCATCGGGCCTTCTCGGGGCACAGAATTCGAATTTTCGGTTAGCGGTCCCCCTTCTTGGTTGGCACTGTCTTGGGGCCCTCTTGGGCCGTTTTGGGCGCCTCTTGGGCCATCTTCGGACACTCTTGGGCCATCTTGGGGCCCTCTTGGCGGCCTTTTGGGCCGTCTTGGGGCGATCTTGGCGGCCTCTTGGGCTATCTTGGAGCGTCGGAAAACCGAAAAGGCGAAGAGACAGAAACTTCAGAAAGCAAAGGAAAATCAATGGTTTAGGCCTTTTGGGGCCTTCTCGGGAGGCCGCTTGGAGGCCCCTTATGCGTCTTGGGGCCATCTTGTGCGTCTTGGAGCGATCTGCCTCTTGGGCCATCTTGGGGATATCTCGGAGCCCTCTTGGCCCATCTTGGGCCCCTCTTGGACCCCAGAGAGCCACGCGGGGAGATACGGGAGAGCCCAGGGGGGCACGCGCCAAACCCCGGGAGATCTTTCAAGTTGGAGTCCGGGTATTTAGAAAAAAAATCCTCAGGATGTAGGATTGAGACTTAAAGAGATTAGGCACAGGACCTGAGGACACGCGCACTCCGTGCCCAGAGGCACGGCGGCGGATCAATTGAAATCAATTGAAGCCCATGGATTTCGATTGAATTTGGTGATTGGTTTGAATTGATTATTACAGGTTCCAATTGATTTCATTTGGTGCACATGGACTTCAAGTGATTCCAATTGTCTGCAATTTCTTCTAGCCGGTTCAAGCTACATTCGATTAAGTACCGCATGTTTCCTGTTGGTGTTAATCGATGTCAATGATTCAAATTCGTTCTAAATTATTCGATCTGATTTCGATTAAATTTTATGCCTTTCAATTACCCTGGTGAGCACACGCTGTTTGGCTAGGAGTCTTCCCTGGTACTACCATCCGAGCGCTTGGCTCTCAATACAGGCTGTGACGGCAGCGACCGTTGCCCGGTGCTCGTTGCCCGTCCCCCCCCGCCCCCTGGCAATGAGGCAGGCCCGCAGCAGGAGCCTGCAACCCCTTTACAAGTGCTGGGGGGGTGCATGGGACCTGCAGCACTCTGTTGTTGTAAACCGGGGGGGCAACGGCACCGTTTGAACTTCCAGGCGTCCCCTGGTAACATGTACGAGCCTTGGGGGAAAGCTTAAATTGAAAATTATCCTGGCGAAGGACCCAACCATATGCTATTGTGAGTACCGCAATTGTGAATACCTTCTTCGGTGGAGCCCCCTACGGGGCCACGAAACGTACGAGGGGTGTGCCGAAATGAATGTGCGGGACGCATGCGGGCACACCCATTGGGGCCTTCGGTGGAGCTCCCTATGGGACCACAAAACGTGCGAGGGGTCACGAAACGCGTGAGGGGTGTGCCGAAATGAGTGTGCGGGACGCATGCGGGCACACCCACTGGGGCCTTCGGCGGAGCTCCCTTTGGGGCCACGAAACGTGTGAAGGGTATGCCGAAATGGGTGTGCGGGACGCATGCGGGCGGCAGCACTGGGACCTCCGGTGGAGCCCCTCTACGGGGCCACGAAACGTGCGAGGGGTGTGCCGAAATGGGTGTGCGGGACGCATGCGGGCACACCCATTGGGGCCTTCGGTGGAGCTCCCTATGGGACCACGAAACGTGTGAGGGGTCACGAAACGCGTGAGGGGTGTGCCGAAATGGATGTGCGGGACGCATGCGGGCACACCCACTGGGGCCTTCGGTGGAGCTCCCTATGGGGCCACGAAACGTGTGAAGGGTATGCCGAAATGGGTGTGCGGGACGCATTCCCTATGGGGCCACGAAACGCGTGAGGGGTGTGCCGAAATGGGTGTGCGGGACGCATGCGGGCGGCAGCACTCTGGGGCCTTCGGTGGAGCTCCCTATGGGGCCACGAAACGTGTGAGGGGTGTGCCGAAATGAATGTGCGGGACGCATGCGGGCGGCAGCACTGGGGCCTTCGGCGGAGCTCCCTTTGGGGCCACGAAACGTGTGAGGGTGTGCCGAATTGGGTGTGCGTGACGCATGCGGGCGGCAGCACTGGGGCCTTTGGCGGAGCTCCCTATGGGGCCACGCAACGTGTGAGGGGTGTGCCCAATTGGGTGTGCGTGACGCATGCGGGCGGCAGCACTGGGGCCTTCGGTAGAGTTCCCTACGGGGCCACGAAACGTGTAAGGGGTGTGCCGAAATGGGTGTGCGGGACGCATGCGGGCGGCAGCGGGGCCTGTGCCGAAATGGGTGTGCGACGCATGCGGGCTCCTTAGCTGGGGCCACGAAACGTGTGAGGGGTGTGCCGAAATGGGTGTGCGTGACGCATGCGGGCGGCAGCGCTGGGGCCTTCGGCGGAGCTCCCTATGGGGCCACGAAACGTGTGAGGGGTGTGCCGAATTGGGTGTGCGTGACGCATGCGGGCGGCAGCACTGGGGCCTTCGGCGGAGCTCCCTATGGGGCCACGAAACGTGTGAGGGGTGTGCCGAATTGGTGTGCGTGACGCATGCGGGCGGCAGCACTGGGGCCTTCGGCGGAGCTCCTATGGGGCCGCGAAACGTGTGTGGGGTGTGCCGAATTGGGTGTGCGTGACGCATGCGGGCGGCAGCGCTGGGGCCTTCGGCGGAGCTCCTATGGGGCCACGAAACGTATGAGAGGTGTGCCGAATTGGGTGTGGGTGACGCATGCGGGCGGCAGCATTGGGGCCTTCGGCGGAACTCCTATGGAGCCACGAAACGTGTGAGGGGTGTGCCGAATTGGGTGTGGGTGACGCATGCGGGCGGCAGCACTGGGGCCTTCGGCGGAGCTTCTACTATGGGGCCACGAAACGTGTGAGGGGTGTGCCGAATTGTGTGTGGGTGACGCATGCAGGCGGCAGCACTGGGGCCTTCGGCGGAGCCCCTATGGGGCCACGAAACGTGTGAGGGGTGTGCCGAATTGGATGTGGGTGACGCATTCGGGCGGCAGCAGTGGGGCCTTCGGTGGAGTTCCCTATGGGGCCACGAAACGTGTGAGGGGTGTGCCGAAATGGGCGTGGGTGGCGCATGCGGGCGCGGGCACTGGGGCCTTCGGTGGAGCTCCCTATGGAGCCACGAAACGTGTGAGGGGTGTGCCGAAATGGGTGTGGGTGACGCATGCGGGCGCGGGCACTGGGGCCTTCGGTGAGCTCCCTATGGAGCCACGAAACGTGTGAGGGGTGCCGAAATGCGCATGAAATGGGTGTGGAAATGGGTGACGCATGCGGGCGCGGGCACTGGGGCCTTCGGTGGAGCTCCCTATGGAGCCACGAAACGTGTGAGGGGTGTGCGCATGCGGGCGCGGGCACTGGGGCCTTCGGTGGAGCTGGGTGTGGGTGACGCATGCGGGCGCGGGCACTGGGGCCTTCGGTGGAGCTCCCTATGGAGCCACGAAACGTGTGAGGGGTGTGCCGAAATGGGTGTGGGTGACGCATGCGGGCGCGGGCACTGGGGCCTTCGGTGGAGCTCCCTATGGAGCCACGAAACGTGTGAGGGGTGTGCCGAAATGGGTGTGGGTGACGCATGCGGGCGCGGGCACTGGGGCCTTCGGTGGAGCTCCCTATGGAGCCACGAAACGGTGTACTGGGTGGGTGAAGAGGAGAGGAGGAGAGGAGGGGAGGAGAGGAGGAGAGGAGAGGAGAGGAGAGGAGAGGAGAGGAGAGGAGAGGAGAGGAGAGGAGAGGAGAGGAGAGGAACGCGGGGCACCGTCTCTTCAAAACGAGGACCCAACACCACAGGATGGTTGGGAATTACCATGCGCACCAGAGAGGGGATCAACTACAATCATTCCGCAGAATTGGGGATTCAGCCACAACAAACAGGCAGTCGTGCTTGATGTTTCAGGTGTTCTCGGCACCCTCGAGAGGGTCGAGAGCACGCTCTGGAGCCTCCCGTAGCTTCGCAGGGGTGCCTGGCCCGCGTGCGACGGCGGTCGCTCCCGCTGTCTTCAGGAGGTGGAAGAGGAGGAAGAATAAGAGGAGGTAGTGAGGAGGACGAGGTGATGGATGAGGAGGTAGTGAGGAGGAGAGGGGAGAGGAGGAAAGGGAGAAGGAGAAGAAGGGGTAGGAGAAAGAGGAGGAGGAGAAGGAGGAGGAGGAAGCAGCCGCGCGCGACGGCTGGCGGACAGGACCCCATCACTCGCCTGGATCTGGTGGCCACCCGTTCCAAATCTGGGCGGGCGCTGGGACTGGAGGAGGAGGAGGAGGGAGTAAGGAGGAAAAGGCAGGAGTGAGGAAAGGAAGGGACCAGGAGGACGAGGAGGGAGTGAGGAGGGAGAGGAGGGAGCAGAGAAGGAGTAGGGGGAGGCGACGACGGCGACGACGACGACGATGACGACGACGACGTCGACGACGGCGGCGGCTGCGGCGGCTGCGGCCATGACGACGACCGATGTGTCGGAGGCGATACCGCTGCTGTTCTCGAGGATTGTGCCGTTCGAGCCGCCCTTGCTGCCAGCGCCCCCGCGGCCAGCGTAGGCGCGGGCAGGTGCGCTTGTGGCCTTGGCCTCGTCGCCCCGATCGATCGTTTGCAGAGAACCCCATCACGAGGCCCAGAGGGCCCCAGGGGCTCCAAAATTGAGGGAAAAGCTGGAGGCATAGACATCAACTTTCGCATGTTCAGGCGGACCTCTCGGATCGGCGCTAGACCCCCCTCCCTGGCGCGATCGGGACACGAGCAGACGAAGTCTGTGGCGGTTCGGCCGTCGCCACTGGGTGCATATCTACGTCCGTGGTCGGGTCGCAGTCGCCGCTGGTCGCAGTCCGCAGTCGGCGATCTGGGTCCCCGGTCCAGGTCGTGGCTGTCGCGATGGGCGAGGCGCCTGTTTTTCCTGATTTGAGAAGCCCCCTGCCTTCTAAAGAGGCCGCCCCCCTCGCGCCCCCCCCCCCTTGGCGCGCTGCCAGCAGACCTCGGGACGCTGCTGGCAGCAACACACGGCAGGCGGTTTGCTCGCCGTGTGGGCGTCCAGGGTGCCCTCCCAGGGAGAGCGCAGGGGCTTATCAGAGACCGGCCCGGCGCTCACGGGACAGGACCGCGAGGAGGTCGCGACGCCGCGCTTGACTTCTCCAAGCGAGGGAGGCGTCGCGGCCTCCAGCGGAGATTGGCACACGGCCCGGCTCGGGAAGAGAGGGCCGGGAGGGGCAAAGAGAGAGTCCATGGCACGCTGCCGTATTGGGAGCCCGTCAGCGTGCTGCTCGTCTCGTGCATGCCCGAAGGCCTGGCAACCCCTCCGCAGATGGCTTCCCCGCGGCGGCGGCGTGCCATTGGTTCTGTCCCTGCTCCCCAGGGAGGGGGGAGCAGGCAGGGTCGGCTGACGAGGCTCGTCGCGCACGGGCGCGCGTGCGCGCTGGCGGCGGCGTCGGCCGAGCTCCGCCATCGTCGGGCCCCTCGCGTGGGGAGTCCTGGAGGGGCGGACCAGTTCCGGCCGGACCCGTCGGAGCGGATTGGGCAGGGGAGGGCAGGAAGCAATGTCAGCCTGTGGCTAACAAAGGAGCCCCCCCCCTCCCCCCAGGCGCTTATGACCAGACCCCGCGGGATGTGAACCATTTTTTTTAATCACGCGCGCTGGGGGGTCGTCGCGGGCACCGCCGAGAGGATCGTGTACCCCCCTGCATGACAGCGTCAAAACGGTTGCCTTTCGTATAGACGTTGTTATGAGAATCGTATACATCCGAGGCGATTGTTTTGTTCCCCCCCTTTTCAGGCGTCGTCATCGTCGTCGTCGTCGATTTATAGCGGGCCTACGCAGCGCCCCCCCCCCCACACACAGCATCCGCAGGTCGTCGTCGTCGCCGTCGCCGTCGGCGTCGCCGTCGACTAAAATAGGCCTGCGCAGCAGCAGCCCCCCCCCCCCATTTAGGGCATCCGCAGTGCGTCGTCGCCGTCGGTCGCCGTCCGTCGTCTTCGTCCTCGTCCTCGTCAGCGTCCTCGTCGTCGTCGTCGTCGTCGTCGTCGTCGTCGTTGTCGTAGTCGTAGTCGTAGTCGTCGCTGTCGTCGTCGTCGTAGTCAACTACACCAGGCCTACTCGTCGTCGTCGTCGTCGACGACTACAGACAGACAAAGACAGACGGGGGGAGGAGGACTGCCCGCATTGCTCGGGTCGGACGACAGGCTGAGGAAAGCAAGGGGTGTTGCGAAATCTGCTGCACGCACCTGGTTTCAGTCGCCCCGCCGAGGGGCCAATCATCGATGCATGGCCGCTTGAGGCGGCATGAAGCGTTCGGAAAATCAGCAATGTGAGTTGCTGGACAAACCCGCTCGGCCACGCCCCGATTTCGTCCAGCCCGCGTGGTTCGCGACCGAGGCACAAAAAAGGCGCATCGGTTCGACAAACAAGAGCACGGAAAGTGCGGGGGCGAGCGCCGACAGCGATTGCTCATATCGAACAGGTGTCGCCCTGTCTCACGGTCCCTGCTTTTGCCGCCCTTGCTTCCCCTTCCTCCCCCGGTCTGCGTTGTTTTTGTCGCCTTCTCGCTGGCGGCCGGGCGTCGGCGTGAATCGCCGGCGCCGCCGCCGTTGTGTTTCAATTTGGCGGGCGCCACCCCCGCGATTCGCCCGAACATGGAAACCATTATATTCCTCTTCCTATGTTTTTGCAAGCCCGGGGGGGGGGAAAACCATCACCCCCCCCAAAACTGGACCCCCGGGATCTGGGGTTCTCGGGTTCCCTTGGACGTCCTTGGAAAAGGTCACCCGGCTTCCCGGGTCTCCACAAACGCTTTGCCAGCAGACCCAGAGCGATCCGAGGGGTCATCAGAAAGGCTCAAGGGAGGCCCCAGACAGCACAAGAGCGCTCCAAGAGGGACTCCAATTGCGTCAGGACGGTCCAAGAGACCCCCAAGGCACCCCAAAAAGCTTTCCAAGGGGCCTTCACAGCACAAAGAGTCGTCCCATTCCTTTCTCGTAAAACTGACAATTTTTGCATATTCGCCTTTCGGATCTCATCAGTTTTCAAGACGGCTTCAAAGCCCCCGAGATCTCCTCCAGACGCCCCAAAACGCCCCCAAGAAAGCTTCAAGACGGCCGAGCCGGGCCCCACAATCGCCCACGAGAGCCCCAAGACAGCCCATAATGTAACCAAGAGACCCCCCAAGGGCTCCCAGCACAGACCCAAAAGGGCCATGGGAGGTCCCCGGAAGTGCCCAAGATGGGTCCAAAGGGGGCTCCAGCGGGCCCAAGCTTTGCCCCAGGATGACCCATGAAGGCGCCAAAACGGCCCACGAGGGCCCCGAAAACACCCCCACGATGTTCCCGAATGCCAACATCAAGACCCCCAAGGCACCCCAAAAAGCTTTCCAAGGGGCCTTCACAGCACAAAGAGTCGTCCCATTCCCTTCGTAAAACTGACAATTTTAGCATATTCGCCTTTCGGATTTCATCAGCTTTCAAGACGGTTTCAAAGCCCCCGAGATCGCCTCAAGACGCCCCGAAAGGCCCCCGAGAAAGCTTCAAGACGGCCGAGCCGGGCCCCACGATCGCCCACGAGAGCCCCAAGACAGCCCATAATGGAACCAAGAGGCCCCTCAAGGGCTCCCAGCACAGACCCAAAAGGGCCATGGGAGGTGCCCAAGATGGGTCCAAAGGGGGCTCCAGCGGGCCCAAGCTCCGCAAGACAGCCCAAGAAGGCCCCAGGACGGCCCATGAAGGCGCCAAAACGGCTCACGAGGGCCCCGAAAACACTCCCACGATGTTTCCGAATGCCAACATCAAGACCCCCAAGGCACCCCAAAAAGCTTTCCAAGGGGCCTTCACAGCACAAAGAGTCGTCCCATTCCCTTCGTAGACCTTACAATTTTAGCGTATTCGCCTTTCGGATTTCATCAGCTTTCAAGACGGTTTCAAAGCCCCCGAGAGCGCCTCAAGTCGCTCCAAAAGGCCGCCTTAGAAAGCTTCAAGACGGCCAAGCCAGGCCCCACGATTGCCCACGAGAGCCCCAAGACAGCCCATAATGGAACCAAGAGGCCCCCCAAGGGCTCCCAGCACAGACCCAAAAGGGCCATGGGAGGTCCCCGGAAGTGCCTAAGATGGGTCCAAAGGGGCTCCAGCGGGCCCAAGCTCCCCAAGACGGCCCAAGACGGCCCCAGGACGGCCCATGAAGGCGCCAAAACGGCCCACGAGGGCCCCGAAAACACCCCCACGATGCTTCCGAATGCCCACATTCATCGACTTTGCTCCCATGACATTTCACATTGTGACCCAGTCGTTGAGGGTCTCGTGGCATGCAGCGAAGATGCCCGAGGACGCCCCGTACGAGTTGCATATGCATGTACATACCCTTACACACATAAATTTGTGTGTACTTATGTACGCTGTACACACATACAACAATTTAAATATATTGTATGCACCTATACAATTATACGGAACGTGCATGCACGTGCGCGCGTATACATGCATGCGCGCATGTACGCACGCACGCATTCAGATTGCGCGCAGAACTCAAAGGACCAAGGTGCATGGCGCGCAGCGCCAATGCAGTCTTATATATATATATACACACAACAAAAATGATGTGTTAATCACAAGCTGACATTACGAAGTCTGCCGCGTGCAGGTGGTTTCCGCCCCGACGCGGGGCCCGCTCATCAAGGGGTCGCTCCCGACACCGCGGGGCCGCCAGGAAAGCCAGCTGCATGCATCGGGTTCGCCACCGCCGTCCTTATTGCCCCCCTTCTTTCAGTCGTGATCCTCACCTTCGCCACTGGTCCGAAGCCGTTGGCGTCGAGAGTTTGCTCCCACGTGCACGTGCATTGGAGGTCCAGAGTCTTCCAGAGTCTCCCCTTGTCCTCTTCCTCCTTGTGAGGCCACGCTACCCCTGGCGCCTTCGCCCTCTTCCTCGTTTGGCCGCTGCTGCTAGAGGTGTCCTCCTCCTCCTCATCCTCCTCTTCGTCCTCATCTTCTCCCCCTCGTCCTCGTCCTCCTGGCGCCCTGGTGGGGCCCCGCTACCCCTTGGCATAACCCCCCTCCCCGTCCCCCAGCGAGCGTCTGGGGTCTCTCGCGCACGAGTGGTTGCCACGCCTCCCGCGGCCGGGGTTCCGCTCTGAGTCCCCATTTCGACTAGGCGTAAGAGTGACCTTTCGCCGGAGTGACCTTTCGTGCGGGCACAGGTGGGTGTCCAAATGGCCGAAAACGAGGCAGTAGCAGCTGCTTGCGCGCCCAGGTTTGGTCCCCCCGCGACCCCAAAAAAGTCGCGCACCAAAGGTCACTCTTACCCAGGGTCACTCCTGCGTGTAGCCGACCATTGGGGCCATGCCTCCTGCCCGAGCCTTCGAGTCTCCTGTCGCCGACGGGCGGGCGATTCTGGGCTGAGGAGCCCCCACTGCCACGAGAGAGCTTGCTGGAGCCCCCCACAGCCCCACGAGAGTCAAAAACAGTCTTTATCATTGCATGTGACATCTGCACGTCTGTGCCGCTGCCCACAGTTTTCCGATCAGCATTGCTTCTGATCGGTTCGTGCCGCCCCGCAATCATACACAAGGCGCAGTGGAAGCCGCCCTGGGGAGCCTCATGACGAGCCCCAGACGCGCCAAGACAGGCAGAAGACCGCCCGAGCCTGCCACGCGAGCACTGGTCCGCCTGCCGTCGGCACAGTCGCTAGTGCAGCCAACGCCGAGATTGAAGCTGGGACCCCGTCGCGCGATTGCAGCTACGCGCCGCTGGCCCGGGCGGACGCCGAGGCCCAACGGCGTGAGGCTGCCGCTGGCGCAGCGGTGCCCCCCTCTGACGGACGAGGGCCGGCGGCGCGCGGGGGGAGGCGCCGCGCGTCGGGCTTCGCACAGACGGCGGAAAAGATCGCGGCCGGGCCATGCTGGATCACTGACAGCCCAATGTGTCGAACATTCTGGCGCCAACATCGCAGAGCGAATTTCGTTCGGAGAACGATAGAATGGGTCCGGAGTGTCCTGGAGAATTTCGTTCCTGATTCTGAGGTGAATTTCGCGCGAACGTTTTTTTAGGCCAGGACTGAAGACCAAATCAAGATCCACGCGAACTTCACTTCGTTTTTTCGCTCGCCGCTTCGTGCAGAAATCCGCTGCAGCACGTCTGCAAGGCCGGTGCAATGAGACTACACGCAAGACCCTTCGCTGGAGTGACCTTTGGTGCGGGCCCACCAGGGCCCCCCAGGCGCCCCGAACGCGATGCGATAGCAGCGCCTTACGCGCTTGTATGTGGTCCCCCGCGGCCCCCAACAAGCCGCGCACCAAAGGTCACTCTTACCCAGGGTCGTTCCTGCGTGTAGCCGAGTGTAGAGGGTCCCGAGAGAGGGTGGGAAGCTTATCCTTGCTCGGGATCTCAGGTCCCTCGGCCTCGCCATAGCCTGTGGCTGCCTGAATCCAAAGACCTGGGTGCTTCTCCAGGCCCTGTCGTGCTGGAACCTTTCTCCGCCGACTTGCTGCCAGCCCCAGGGCGCGTGATCGAGGCGTAGCTCTGCGCAGCGTTCCCACGCAAATCTGTCAGCGGATGGGGACGTATTGGGAAGGGAGCGCAGATAAGAATGTACACGTGCGGGTACGCAGATGGGCAGCATCCGGCACGAGCTCCCCCTTATGTTTTTTGTCCAGTCAGATAGGGGAGGGGGTGTTCAAGCGGGAGCGATCGCAGCCGCCCGCATTCGGGATGCATCTTTCTTCCTGTCTGTGCCTCCACACCACGTTCTCGCTGGATTATCTCTGCCATCCCTGTCCTCAGAGTTTCCTTCACGCGTACGTTAGTGCCCACTCTCAGTTTTGATAATAGCCTTCAGTGTCCCTGCAATCTTTCTGCCGTTGGGGGCCATCGAAAAATGGCACAATGGTAAAAATCAAATCTACATTTTTGTTGGCGGGCCAGGGAGAAGAGATCAGTAGGATACGCACGAGGATTGGAGTCTGTTCGCAGGTGGGCTGCGGCTCCGGCCAGAAGCACCGCAACATCACCTGCGTCAACGGTGAGTGGGAGGCGTTTGCCCGCCCAGCCTGCCTTTTGTCAGGTCATTCAGTTTTTGTTCAGCCCCGATCACGCAGACTGTGTGCGCTTGCTGCTGCCTCTCGATCCCTAGTTCTTCCAGGAGCAATGCACTAAGCATCAGAAGATTACATTACTCGTAATTCTCGGAACGAATTCCATCAAATGAGGCAACGAGCATTGATGAATTCCACGCTGGGAGGGGTGCCTGCGGTGACACCGTAGAAGGCACATGCGTGCCGATTGAGCACGGCGAATTCACATGGAGGACTCTTCCAACAGGATGAAATAAGGCCGCTCGTATAATCGTATCCAAGTCTCGCAATTGCGGGTAAGAGAATGAGAGGGGCACCCTGTCTGCTTTGCAGGGGCTGCGAGGCTCGAGCGCCAATGGAAAGAAGCCCGCCGCGGGCGATTTTTCTTAACCGACCACCCCGCCGCAGGCGACTTTTTCGGCAAAACGAAGTGGGTAGGTTGCGGGGCGGGTCGTCAGCGGCTCGCGATGTCCGAATGCCAGTTCAAGGAAGCTTGCCGCAGGCCCCTGTTGTTTCTTGCACGCGCAGCCCGCCGCAAGCGGTGACTTTTGTGTCAGACAGTGTGGGTGGATCGTGGGGCTGATCGTCGGCGGATTGCGAGCTCGAATGACAGTTTGAAGAAGCCCGCCGCAGGCGCCGTTTATGCCCACTTCCACACGAAGGCCGCAGCAGGCTGCGAAACTTTGCTGCAATGCAATGGGGGCGGGTCGCGAGTGTGGGCCGCGGCCTCGGCACGCAAACGGCGGCCTTCACGGCCTGAGTGGGGCTCCTTCCCGCAGCCTCTCTGGCCCCCCCTCCGCGCGTTCCCCCGAGTGCCTAGTTGTGCCTTGGCGCGCCCCGCCGCTGCTTGACCGTCGTTTGATCCCTCACGGCCGCCGATCAAACAAGCGTGGGCCGCGGATGGGTCACGAGTGGGGAGCGGGTGGGTCGCGGATGGGTCGCAGATGGGTCGGGGGTGGGTCGCGGGGCAAGGACCGCGCGGATGGGTCGCGGGCGGGGGCGGCAGACAACACCAATGAGAATCCGCACCGCGGAATTCCATGACATGCTCGCACCCAGGGATTATGTAAGACCGCTCGTCCCCGTTGTTTTACACACATGTTCACCAGACGCACAGGATGTTCTCAATTGGATGGCTCGCACGTGCGAGCCGAGTTTGCCCATTCTACGAGCACGCATGATGAACACAATAGATCCATGCGCGCCCTAGGGCCCACTCTCACAGAGCTACACTGGATTGCATGGCAGAAAATGTGGCATTGCCAAAAAAGACTCACTCTAGGAATGGCTTGACACTTGAATTGTGCAAGCCGAAATGGTTGACCCGAGCGTTTTCAGACATTGGGTAGGTATCTAAGTGGGGTCAAAGTCGAAACTTAATCGGCTGGGGCGTCGTCGTGAGAGCAGTGCATATGGGACCACTACCTCACAGGTCGGGCGACGTAAGGATGGCAAGTTCTTAACGGGATGGATGTGGTCTGTTGTTGGACTCGGCGGGATTGAAACTGCTTAAGGACAAAGTGTCCAGGTCATAAAGAGGTGAACCACATTGATGCAGATCTGTGTTGTTCATCGACGGCGCCTCCCGCGAATCACCGCCGCTCCCTTCCAAGTGTTGGGTCAAAGTCTGGGCAAGCCACTAGACCGCATGTGTTTCCAACCCGTTGCGAGAACGACTTTGGAACACAGGCGGGAAATTGTTCCATGGTCGTCGGATATGTTGGCTTTTCTTGGGGTGTCTGAAGCCTTCCTGGGCCGTATTGAGGGCGTGCGACGCCGTCGCATCCAGTGGCGTTGAATTGAAAGTGAGTTGAGCAGCGCAGGGTTGCAGGGCTGCCCCAGGGACTATGCCGCGCAGGAGACTGCGCATCGCGAACGCCAGCCGCGAGCCTCTGATGCGGCAGCCTGTACGCTGCTGCATGGGAACACCTAGTCGCGCGCCGTCTGATGCCCCCTTCTTGGTGCCGTTGGTGTGCCCGGCTGACCACGAGGAGCATCTCGGAGGCATGAATATTCACGGGGCCCCATGAAATTGTGATGGAACTTTCCAGGACGTCGGCGTAGCAGGCCGCCTAAAAAAACAGTATTGCTTATCCTTCGGGCTCTCGCAGTGCCCTCTTGGAGCCCCATGGGGCACCGACGACGTGGAGCACCAGGAGTGCTTCACGCACACACACACACACACACATTCCACTTCAAGAAAGTATGTGGCTGCTCCCTGATAGTTGATTCGGTTTGGTCATCTGTCTGGGCACCGCAGCATCGGTTTTGCACCAGAGGTTTGACCATGGTAGCGAAATCCCAGCGCTTGGGCCGCAATGCAGTGAGTTTTTGGAAGTCACAGCGTGGGTGCGACAAGCAAGTTTGTTTGGAGGATCGGGATATTTCTTAGCGCTTCGCGTATCCCCACCAGCTGCACCGTGGTGGACTGGCGCCCTGGCGTGCAGTTCTTAATTCTCTGGCACCCCTGCCACAGGTTTGCTCGTTGCATCAGCTTCCCTGGGCGTTGCAGACCAGCCAGTCAGCCTCACTAGCCGCTGCTGCTCCACAGCTGCCGCCTCTGAGTGTTGGCCCGGCCGGCTCGCGTGGCGCTTAGTAGCTAATTAGGCTGGCCCGTGCCCCGGACCCCCTTTCGCCGCCTGCCTTCTGCTGCGCGGTCGCAACCAAAAAAGTATCCCCACCAGCCCCGGTGGTCAGCTGATTGGTTGCAGCGATCAGCTGCCGGCCCTTCCCCTCGTGGTATACGCATTCACGGCGTTCGGACGCCTGTCGAACGTCTTGGCCTGGGGAACCGTCCCGCAGGCCCCCTATGAACTGCCGGCCCCACTGATTGATCTGGCTGCCGGTTGGTGCGGCACTGGCTCCCTCGGGGCTTCCACTGTCGTCCTCTCCTACCGCGTGATGGCCGCAAGGGTTCACGTCGGGTTGGTCTGGACGGGCGTGCCCCGATCCCGCCAGCGCAGCCCTTCGCTCAAGGCGTTCGTAGTCTCCTTGGCCAAGTAATTTGCGGGCGCCGGCTTCATCAAGGCCACCCGCCGCTCCACCTTCGGGCTACCCGGTGGGCGGCGTTCCCTTGCACGACCCCGTCGTGCTGGTCATTCCAGTGCCTTCGGGTCCGGCGCTCGGGCGGTTGATCGCGTCGCTTGACCTGATGTCCTACCTGTACGGCAAGTTTTGGACTCGTCGCCATTTGTGCTTAGGTAAGTGCGGCGTCCGCCTATCCTTCGCCTGCACGGCCTGCTTGTTCAAAGGGGTTGCCTGGGGTGCACAGACCTTTCGCCATGGCCTTCCTGGTGCTGCTGGCCATCTACCCCGCGCTCCTGGCTTGCTACACGCCAGCCTTTTCGTTGTGCTTGTGCAGTTCCACCTCCTCCGCGCCGTTTTGGCTGCGCTGCGTTCCCCGCAATGTTGTGCTCGCGGTGGGCACGGTCTTCGTCATGTCCTACTTGTGCGGCGCGGTTGGCGCCCCGCCTCCACCTCCTGCGCGTCCTGCGGCTTCGGCAGGGTTTCCCGTTCGCCGGGGTTCGGGCGGCCTGCTCGGCATCCTGGTGGTGCGCGGTCCCGCGCTGCCGTTCCCCGTGGCGCCGCTTTTCCGCACGTTCGGCAACGTCTTCGCGGTCCTGGCGCTGCCCCCGCGCCCTCGCCCTCGGCCGCCTCTGAGCCCCACCTACCTCGGCGTGTTCGTCGCACTGTTTCTTTCCCTTCGCAGGTGGCATGGCCTGCCCCTGCTTGCCCGGCGTCCGACCCGATTCCCGCGCCTGCGTAAAAGTATCCCCACCAGCCCATTCAGAAACAGTTTGTCAGGCGAGTTGAATCGTTGTTGCGAGAGGTTCTCGGGGGTCTCTTGGAGCCATATTGGGGCTCTCTTGGGGTCCTCTTGGGGCCCTCTTGGGGCTCTTTTGAGGCCATCTTGTGGCCCTCTGTGAGCCCTTCGGGCGGGTCTGAGGGATCTCTTGGGGCCGTCTTGGCCCCCGTAGTTTGAAACGAGGGGGGTCCTCAATTCAGGTCCCCCCTCGGAGGCTCCAGAATTGCCTCTTGGGCCCTTCTCGGGGCGCTCTTGGGATGCTTTGGGGGCGCTCTTGGGGCCCTTGTGGGCCCTCTTGGGTCCCTCTTGGGGCTCTCTTTGGCCGTTTTGGGGCCATCTTGAGGCCTCGGAAACCCGTCAGAAGCGAAAAGGCGAGAACCCAACAATCACTGATGTTCCTAAGGTTCTGGAGCAATGTTGGCCTCGTGGGGGGTCCCTGGAGGGCCTGGAGGGCACATGAAACCATCTTGAGGCCGTTTTGGAGCATCTTCGATGTAGGCGGGCGGATATGTTGAGCCATGTTCAGCTGTCTTGAGTCATGTTGGAGGCCTTCTTGGGTTTTCTGAGGCCCTCCTGGGGCCACCTTAGGCCATCTTGGGCGCCATAATGCCTCACGCCCCGCCCTCCCAGGCCCAGGGTAGGGGTAGGGGGAGAGGTAAACCCCTCCCAGGGGAAGGAGGGGTTGTGGAAACAGACAAGACAAAACTCGTTAAACCACTTACGCCCAGAGGGCTGGTGGGATTCGGATGAAAGCACATCCGGTGAACGGTGCTGATTTCACTGTCATTGTCCGCAGTGTCAGGTCCGCCATAATCGAACCAGCGTGGGTTATTCAGTGGACGTGGCGAGCCACGGAAGCACTAATCGGAGACAAGTGCGCGATGGGATCGCGTGGGAATTATGTGTGTTGCGCCCACCTGCACACATTTCAGTCCTCCAAACGAAAATACGTTCACGTGTGACATTACGTAAACGTGCTCAGTGTCTTTTTGCCGACCTCGCCACCGTGCTTGGCGTGTGGGCACGAGCGCATTGGATGGTCGTTTGCCTTCTGAAAGCCAACTGAGAGGCACAGTGGGGCATCACTGAATTCGTGCGCCCAAAGGACCGAGAATAGATATCACGCACTTGGTCAGGCACGTGCGAACGAACAGGTGTGGACCGATCGACGGCCACAGCGTATTCACAGAATTCCTGGAAGGTTCCAGCAATATGGTTGGAAGTGCTGTGGGCTCATGAGGTGTGGGCTTCTTGGGAGTCGAGACGCTTACGGATTTCTCGGGCCGTCCTGGGGGTCTCTTGGGTGTCTTTTAGGGTGACGTTTGGGGAGCCTCTTGAGAGGCTCTTGAGGATGTTTGGGGGACTTCTGGAAGGCCTCCTGGGGGCCTCTTGGGCGTTTTGGTCCCCTCTTGGGAGCGGATTCGCTTCGATCATCGTAGCAATATTCATTGTTCCAATATGTTCCGAGGGCCCCCGGGACGTCTCTCCAGCGCTCGAGCACTCAATGTTTTAAGGATGACCATGGACGTGGGGGCCTTCCACCACGTGCCGTGTTTGCGGGTTAACGCAGGATGTGGCAAGGATTTGTTTGTGCAGGTTGATATTTCTTTCGCTCATTGGAAGCAGTGCCTCCCACCAGGATTGCGAAGGCATCGAGCCCCATCCGGCCTTGAACGAGACGTGCAGAGAGTACAGTGGTTGCCAGTGGATTGCCGGCGTTCTCTTTTGGAATTCTTGCTTGCTTGGTGTGTCTTGTTGTCAGGCTTTCTTGCTTTCGATCATACGCATCAAACGCCCATCACCCGCAATGAGTTGTGGATCACGTGACGCCTCGGAGGTGCAGGTGTTTCCCAGGGGATTGTCTGGGGATCTTGGAGACCCTGGCCAATTGAGGGATTTGTAGAGGCCGACTTGGAATCTCGACAATTCGTGGGCCATGTGTAGTGTTTGGGGGCACTGTTGGAGCCTGTTTGGTCTGCCTCAGAGCCGTCTTGCAGAGGTATTTGCCGTTCGTGGGGTCATCTTGGAGCGGCCTTCACTTGTTTTGTACCCGTCTTGGAGCCCCTGCGAACCGTTTAAGCGCTGGAAGAGCAGACACGGTCGGATCAGTCAATCACCCAGGCGGCCGCGAGCACGCTTAATTCGAACATTGAAACCCCAAACAAACAGCTCAAAACAAAAGTTTGACGCGATGCTCACGCATCTGGCCGGCAAGTTCTGTATGAGGTCTGATAGCATTTGCACATGCGCATTTATTTCGGAGTAACTCTGGTTTTGAAGATGGTTCGTGCTCTATGTATATATGAAGAAATACGCGTGGCAGGGGCAACGCATAAATATTGGAAGGGGGAACAGGCAGTCTGATCGTATAGAGTTAATTAAACATCATATGTGAGTTTGTCTTCTTTGCCGGCTCTTCGTTACCCCCATGCTCTTCGCCAGTCGGTGCGTACTTCGAGCGGCCAGGATTGCTGGCGACTGGGGCCCTTGCGACGCGGAGTGCGGAGAGGGCAACATGCACCGCGAGGCAGCAATGTAAAGGGAAGTGGTTAAGGCAGGGCCCTCGTCAGATTTCCAGCTCGAATCTGTGGTTTGGGTGTTCATTGTGTTTGTTCTCCCTTCTTTCGCCACTTTGCCCTGCTACTCATCCCCCTCCTTTCTCTCTTCAGAACGTTTCCCTTTCTCTTCAGAACGTCCCCCTGTTTCCGATCTTATCCCGGCTGATGGGCATGGCGTGTGGTTGACATCGATAGTCCCATAGTTGCGCCATGTTTTCGCAACAGTAGTCTCAAAGTATCGAAGTTTTCCGCTGTACGTCGACGTGTCATGGTCATGTACGCTTTCCATGTCTCATCAGTTACCATTACGTTCCACACGCTAAATTCTAATGTGATGCGTGAGTATAGATGTCATTCCTTGTTTGTAGTCTCGCCCCCCATCTTGTTTCGTGCCTGGCTACATGGTTTGCGTGCGCGTGGGTGTATTATTATTCCAGCTCTTCCTTCGTTGTCGGCAGGGCCAACTTGAAGAGCCAATTGTCGTTGGCGGGACGCGAGCCATACAAGTGTACACGACACCACGAGGAGGCACGACGACGGGGCACCGAGATGCGCAGAGTCCACCGGCGCATCAGAATATCGTGCTCTTGCAGTCGCCCGCTCCATTGCAGGTGCTTTGCACGAATAGCCAGATCCAGGACTGCTTCAAGGTTCTCTTCACGGTGCCGCCAGAGACGCGAAGGTGCTTTCGCAGTCGAGTGGCTTTCGTCCTCGCACGCAGCTACTAGGTCGTTTCTGTTGTCGCACCCACAGTTCTGGGAAGGTTGGGCAGTCTCCAGTAGGGCATTTCCCGCAGCATACGACGAATCGAACATATTTACATAGTTGCCTCTGGCCACTGTTCCACATTGCTACTCGTGCACAACTAACCGACAGCTTGATTCGAACCGCAGTCATTCGCACATGAATCAAATGCAGTTTGATGTGGCCAAGAACTAGATAAGACGGAGTTTGTAAAGCAGCACGGATTCGGGTCAGTTGCGCCGTTCCGGAGGTCCATAATGTTGCACATTGACGCTAGCAATGTGAAAATAAGTTCGTGATTGCCAGTTGATTGGATCATTATGATGCCGATGCATTGCATTCGCTTGTGGCGAGATCCGCTCTAATCGCCAGGCATTCGTGAGCGAACACCTCGGTCTAAGAGCACACCACCGACGTTAAACATGAAGCGTCTGTGTGGAAGATACAACCGTTGGGGCACGATGTCCTATGAACCACAAATTGATCGCAAACAAAAGGCGCGGAGATCACCAAATGTTCATTAATGTTCTAGCGCATTATGGTCTGAGCGCGGTTGGGTATGAGTGAGTTTGCGTAGGAGCGGTTTGGTGTGAATAGGTCTGGGTGTGAGTGAGTTTGAGTACGTGTGGTTAAACACAATCGACTCGTAAGTCTGGAGATTCGTAAGAGGACCTTACCATTGGGGCGTCTGGGAGGTCCCCACAACTGGGCGCGAAATGGTTCGTGCCATACCCCCTGGCGGGTCCCCAATGGGAGGCCCAAATGCCATGCTTGCTATATCCATCGCGGTGATCATGGGACTTTGGGAAGAGCTCGTGTTTTGAACCAAAACACATGCTTACCTAACAGGTCCACAATATGGACGCGAACGGGTACGTGAAACATCCAGGTTGACACCTCCTCGGGTGGTTCATCGCGGTGGCCATGGAAGATGCAAAATGATCCCAATGACCGGGTATGTTATGGACGAGTGTTACCATAACATGTTGCAGTACGTTATAGCACTTGGTCTTGCGTATGACGATTAGCATCTGGTCTTGCACAAGACGTCGGCATGATGTATGGTGTAACAAAGTGTTATTCATTGGCTGACGCCGCACCGCCGACCCCTTGTGGCGGCAGTAAGAGTGAAAAACCGAGTTTGCGGAACGATTTATGGGGAATCTTCGGTTTCAGCTTCTTGGGATTCGTCGGGGGCGGTTGGCGGATCGTGGCTCTGCTTTTGGGCGTCTCTGGGCTCTGCTGGCAGCATTTTTGAGGCCTTTTGGGAGCCGTTTTGAGGCCTCTAGGAGCCTTTTGGGGGCCTTTCGGGGGCATCGTGGGAGCCTCTTGGGGGCCTATTGGCGCCTCCCCAAGTTTTTTCGGGGCCGAGTGCTCGAAATGTTCATTCGGGTTCCCCCTCTGGGCCTCCTCTTGGGGCCGTGCTGGGGCCCTCTGGGGTCGTTTTGGAAGCTTCTGGGGCCGTCTTGGGGCCCTCTTGGGCCGTCTTGGAGTTCTCTTGGGCTATCTTGGGTCGATCTTAAAGGCTTCTTGGGCCGTTGTGGGCCGCGTAGCAGTCCAAGAGGCGAATGTGCTAAAATTATACGTTTTCCCTCGGGAATGGGACGATCTTAGCTTCTGGAGGGTCTCTTGGGACGCCTCTTGGTGGCTTCTTGGGGCGTCTTGGACCGTCTTCAGGCAATCTTGGGCGTCTTGGAGCGATCTTTCGGCGATTCGTAGCCCTCTTGGACCGTCCGGTGGGTCTTTTGGGGTCCTCTTGGCCTGTTTTGGGGCTCCCTGAGGCTCCAAGGGTGCGGTTGTCACCTTTGCCCCCCACCCCCATCCCCCCTCCAAACCGGCCGGACCGGGCTCCCGGGGGAGGGGTTTGGGGAGGGGGAAGCATCTCTCACACGCCGTGACCCCAAGGGGTCGGCGGATTGTACAGGTGATAGTGTTATGGTCGGATATAAGGTGGTGCTGTATTGTAGTATATGGTCACACAGATGTACATGGCCCGTGCTAAATAGCATGTGTGCATGCAACATATGTGGGTAGGCTACATGACTACACGATATGAGTGTCAAGCATGCAGGAAAGGCAACACATGTTCATGCAACATGTCCGAACGTATAATAAAGAGTACGTGTGTAAGTTTGCATCTTCGGGCTCTTCTGTAAGGACCCTTGAAGCCCTCTTGGGGCGGCTTGGGGACGTCTTGGGCCGCCCTGAGGCTATATTGGGCCGTCTTAAAGCAATGATGATCCGTCTTGGGCCGTCTTGGTGTCATTGTGGGGTTCTTGGAGGCCATCTTGGGGGGAAACCCGACGGGAGATCGATTTTCTGGTGGGCTGGCCCGTTGCACTGGAGGCCATGAGGTTTTTTTCGAACGGGTTCAAGCCTTCAAAAATCTGAGACAGCAACAACCCCTCTTGCAAGAAACAATGGGCAGCGGATCGAAGACGCCTACGGCGAATCACCGCCGACCCTTGCTTTCTAGGACCCTCTTGTGTGGCCAAACGTTTGGGTAGAGTTTGGCCACACTATTGGATCATACGTTCCCCCAGCCGTTGTGGGAGCCCTTCGCAGAACACGTGGGGGGGGAAGTGGAGGAGAGGGAGGAAAAGGAGGGAGGAGGAGGAGGAGGAGCAGCAGAAGGAGGAGGAGAAGACCTCTTCGGAGCTTCTTGAGTCATTCTTGGTGCCTTCTGGGAGCTTCCTGGGGACCCTCTTGGAGGCTTCTTGGGGGCCTCCTTGGGCCTCTTGGGGGCCTCTTGGGGGCCCCTTTAACTGTCTTACAGCGTCCCTGACCCGCCTGACGCCGTCGGAAGCCGTCTTGGGAGATTCTCTGGGCCGTCTTGGAGCCCTCTTGAAGCGCCTCAGGGTCGTCTTGGAGCCCATGTTGGACCCAAGACGGCCCAAAGTAGCCCCAAAAGGACCCCCAGGAAGGCCCTGAGAGGCCATATGTATTGATTGTCGCAAGGGTGTTTGGTAGTTTTTGTATGACGTACCAAAGTCTTACCACCAAGAGGGCTCCAAGCCACTGAGCAAGCGATCTCGCGACTTCACAGAGTACGAACGTTTTCCGTCCCCGTCCCAAGCAGGTCACAGAAAGAGCGAGGTACGAGTGATGATTTTCTCGTGTGGGGCGAAGCGCACTAGGAAGGGGTCCAGGGGAGGGGCGAGGACTTTTTCGAGTGAAGCGGTTCTCGGGCGGCTCCCATGGCCCGTTTCCTTGTACTTTTTCGAGTGACGCGGCCCAATGGCCCCAAGACGGCCCAAGAGGGCCCCAAAACATTCTCAAAGGGCCCCAAGACGGCCCCAAGAGAGCTTTAGATGGCCTCCAGACGTTCCAAGAGAGCTTCGAGACGGATCCAGAGGTCCTCAAGAGGGCCCCCGAGTGGGCCACCAGCGGCAAAAAAGCATGCAGCTGTCCCATACGAAAGCATACATTTTAACCACATACGGCTTTTCGGCGTTCACGGCGTTGATGACGGCCCAAGAGGCTCCCAAAACCGCCCCAAGACGGCCCAAGAGGCTCCCAAGAGGCCCCCAAAACGGCCCAAGAGGGCCCCAAGACGGCCCAAGAGGCGCCCAAGACGGCCCAAGAGAGTCCCAAGACGGCCCCAAGAGGGGGACCACAAACCGAAAAGTCTAGCTTTTCGCCCCAAGACGCTCCCAGGAGGCCCCAAGAAGCCCCAGGATGCCAAAATCATTCATTTCCCATAGGGAAACATACATGTTCAGCATACACGGTTTTTCTGCTTTCACGGCGTTGAAGACGGTCCAAGAGGCCCCCAAGACCACCCCAAGACGGCCCAAGAGGCTCCCAAGAGGCCCCCAAAACAGCCCAAGAAGGCCCCAAGACGGCCCAAGAGGCGCCCAAGACGGCCAAGACGGCCCCGAGAGGGGGACCACGAACCGAAAGTTTAGCCTTTCGCCCCAAGAAGCTCCCAGGAGGCCCCAAGAACCCCCCAAGAAGCCCCAAGAGGCCCCCAAGAGACCCCCAAAAGGGCTCCAAAAGGGCCCCAGTAGGACTCCCAAGCCAAATAAAGAGCGATCGGTAACGCAAAAAGCTCTTCACACCAAGGCTCCCAAGAGCGAACGGTGACGTAAACAAGCTGATAAGACCAAGGCTCCCAGCAGAAAGCGGTGACGTAACCAGTTCCTGACACCAAGGCCCAGCGAAGGCTGAGGAACGGGCGGCAACGCAACAATCTCTGAACACCAAGGCTCCCAAGAGCGAAGGGTGCCATGAGCCATCTCGGGCAGGTTGCTGAAGCGCTCTTTCCGTTCCCGTGCCGGCTCAGGTTTGTCGGGTTCTCCCCTTTTCAGTCCCAGAAGGGCCCCAGACGGCCCAAGAGGCCCCAAAGAACGTCCCAAGACGGCCCCAGAGGCGCCCCAAAGGGGCCCAAAACGGTCCAAGAGAGCCCCCAGACGGGCCCAAGACGGCCCAAGAGGCCCCAAAGATCGTCTCGAGACAGCCCCCGAGGCCCCCCAAAGGGGCCGAAAACGGTCCAAGAGGCCCAAGAGGGCCCCAAGACGGCCCAAGAAGGCCCCCAGACGGCCCCAAGAGAGCCCAAAGGGGACCCCAAGAGGCTCCCAAGCGGGCCCCAGGAGGAAGGGGAGAGGAGGAGGAGGAGGAGGAGGAGGAGGAGGAGGAGGAGGACGACGACGACGACGACGACGAGGACGAGGAGGAGGAAGAGGAAGAGGAGAGGAGGAGGGAGGGAGAGAGAGGGAGGAGGAGGAGGAGGAGAAGGAGGAGGAGGGAGGAGGAGGAGGAAGGAGGACGAGGCCAAGGGAGGAGGGGAGGAGGAGGAGGAGGAGGAGAGGAGGAGCGGAGGAAGGGGGAGGTAGAAGGAGGAGGAGGAAGAGGAGGAGGCGGAGGAGGAGGAGGAGGAGCAGGAGTCGGATGAGGAGGAGGAGGAGGAGGAGGAGGAGGAGGAGGAGGGGGAAGAGC